CCCTTTTTTCCCCCCCCCCCCCCCCCCCCCGGCAAATGAGAGCGAAATATTCTAAATGCAATTGATTTTTTGCAAGCGGAAAGGACTTTCTACTTTCTTCACTCAATATGCCGTTCTCAAAAGTTTTCCTCATGTTCATGGAAATCTTTCGGATTCAAGGATCGCTCGCACCATAATGCGAAACGCAGAGACGAACAATCAAGGAAGAGTGGAATTTTCCATTCTAGTTTAGGAAGATTCAGAACTTTTTTTTTTATTCGCGATCAAGCATTGCCATGGAACCGGAGTCCTGAAGACATTCTCTATCTCCTTTCGTGCATTACGCTCCTCTTACCGCGACTAGCACAGCTCATTATCAGACTGAGTTGCTCCTGCTATGAGTATTCGAGTTCGCTGCGGCTATTTCCTTCTACCGATCAGGCTGCACATGATTGGTTGAATCGAGGTGTAAGGGTGAATCATGGGCAGGTCTCGGAATCAATCTTGAATGGCAGGTGATCACAGAGCATCATCATTTATTCTGGATAAACAGTCTGGAAGGTGTAAATATTTTTGTAGTCTCGCTTGAACGGGACACGAGGAGCTGAAGCGATCTTTCTTTCATCCAGTGTTGAAGATGGAGACAAATGACTCATCCAACACGGAACTCCAGTAGAACTATCATGTACGTCAGTATATTACTCGCCACCTGCAATAAAGATGAAAAATTATATATTGCATCTTTCTACCCACATAACTGAGCAATTTCACTAGCTTCTAATTGAAAGTCAGACAGGAAATAAAAACCCCAATGTATCAGGAAAGTCATCCTTGGAGAGATTATTCGAGCAGAGATGTTTTCTCTTCTTCAAAAAAAAAATAAAATATGCAGAGTATGAGGCGAACTCATACAACAACGGACGTACAACGCCGAGGAGTGTTAGCTACGCATAGGCACCACAATACCCTTGACATTCCCTGAGGTAATGACTCCTCTGCACGTTCCCCTTAGAGGCCTTTAACAGAAGCTCACGGGTTGTCTATACCCCATGACTAGAATGGGAGATTTTAAAGGTGCACTGCACTCGTATTATTCCTGACGGGGAGTGCCACGGGGAACTCTTGGGTGGGTGGGATTGGAATTTAGAGGCTATCATCGATGGGCAATTTAAATTTTTCAGGGATGTTCACAAGTAGTTAAGCAATGTGCTTTATAGGATTCTGAGGTTTGTCAGACATTCACTCCTACGAGGTTGCACAATCTAAGTCACTCTTGAACACGGCGCTGATAGGGATTCATTTAAAGTAATGTGTTACATTCCGGAGGCCGGCAAATAATGGGGAATTCATGGCTCTTGGGAAGATACAGAGACGGGCTTTTCACCCGAGGAGGCAGCAATGGAAATATTCAAATGAGCAGCGTTTAGACGTATTCGGGCTGTACTATTTGGATAGGACGGAGGGAATCTTTTATTCTGATATTTGAGGCCTAATTTAAGGACAACAGCAAGTTCGTCGAAGATCGATGGGGCAAAGACCTACCCCTCCTCACTCCCTCCCCTAAAATCCTGCGTACGCCCCTGGTGTGTGGGAGTCATTAACGTTACTGGTACTTACAGAAGTAAGAAGAGCCTTGTTGAGGGTGAAATATCCTGACGCCTGTAGTTTCACCTGATGAGTCCTTGTCAAAGACTCGAAATGCATCACCTGCGACCAAACCGTCCTCCTTTCAATTAGTCAGCTCGTAGTATGGAAGATGATCTTGAGAGTAAAGCCGCCTCACCTGATTCCTGGATTCCTCGTCTAAGCTAAAGGTCCTATCACTCGTGAGCGTGAGAATGATCTCCTCTGCCTGCAGGAAAGGACGAAGACAGAAATCGTGACGGACAACTCTACGAATATTAGAATAATTAAAGACAACATAGCACGGACGATCAGACATCGCGTATGCGCAATGAGGCCTGCTTCAAAGTTCGTGGATTTATAAATTACTCATTTAGGAGCCGAAGTCTAGTGAGATGTTGGACCTGCGAAGTCGAAAAATATGCTATAAAGGATTATCTTTCCGTAGCCTCCTCATATGCAATACTTTGACATAAAGAAGAAAATTCTGAGCTTGTTTTTGAGATGGTCATAGATGGAATGGGAATCGCCACGAGAGAGAGACAAGAACGTCTTGAAGTATCGACATAGGTTATGGGACTCTTTTTTATAATGTGCAACAACAAAATCTTAAGTATAAAGATCATTTTCATAACCCAAGAGTTGAAATCCCTCAATCGATGTTCATTGGCTGGAAATCGGTAAAAGGAATTATTTCCTTCAGCGAAATCATGGAGACAAAGTTGGAGTGTTCGGTTTCGTCACGCACTTGTAGGGGATACTTTTGCAGCTTCACAGCTCAACAATGACACGAGTCGGACAGGAACCGGGAAAGTGTGAATGGTTATTATTGCCCTAATTCATTGTGGGAATAACGTGGATTGTGAAATCGAAATTAATTATTTGTCGTAATTATCATCACCTTTAGGAATTTGTATACAGTACTGCACCATATGATGAGACATCGTTACTTCTCATTACGGATTTACATTCTTATCGTTAGGGGCGCATCATCAGGAGGATCACGAAATTTGAAGCCACGGCCCATGTCCAAAAACGTGCCTGATATTATTAAGTAAACTGCTTATCACTGCATAGAGAATCGTTTCTGAAACCTTTCTTGTAAAACTAAAAGCATCCGAGTAAATTCTCCATTTCAAAGATAGAATTGACACCAATTCGCACGAAATTCTTGCTCTTGCATGGCGAGATTTGAAGCGTAGGTCTAACCTTGGATGAGAGGCCATCGGCAGTCCGACAGAGGGAAAAGAGGAGAAAGTCGCCTAACAAAGTTTTCGCCGAAGCCATCACAACCATGAACCATGAGCCTTGCATGACCCAAGAGATGATGAAGAAGGCAAATACAATGGTCAACAAGATTTGTGCGAGAACGCTGAGGAAGAGCGTGGGATGAAATGCGGAAGACAGCCTCCTGCTCAATTGAGAAACTCGAAGATGCGTCTCCAAATAGAGGGCCAAAACTTCTCCTTTCCGTGGGGATCCTGTGGCATTCTGCAGCTCCCACAATCGCTCCTCCAAGATCACCTTGAGAATCTGTCGTGTACAGAGCAGACGTCGATTTTCCGTGGCATTCAACAGCTTAAACTAACTATTAATGGGTTGGGATTGTAGAGCTGAAGTCACAGGTGTCATATTTAGGTACGATTCTACTGTGTGCGAGACAGTCGAATACAGGCTCGAATAGATTTCCACCTCTCCTAGACTACTGACTGGATCATGAATTTTCGCCATGAAAATTTTCAATGATTACATGACCTGGAAGAACAATGGTTAAGTACCACATTCTTTGACGATGGCCTGGGCCTACTAAATGGAGCAGTGAATGGAGAGTAGCTTGCTCTTTAAATTATAGTGTACGTCCATTTTATATGGGAAAGTTTATCTTACAATGAAAAATATTGTGATCCAAGCCCTCCGCTGGCTGTCACTTTCTAGACATTAGCAGATATTTTCCTTCACGAGAGAACACTTGGCAAATAACAGGTCTCTGAAAGAGCCGACTGATAACAGCTCACCTACACTGCTTTTATTAGAAAGAAATGAGACCTATTGCTTTTCTCACTATAAAATGTACTCCTAGTGTTTCAAGGTACAAGATTCCGAAACAGGTTACTGTGAAGATAATATCCCCAGTTTCACTGGCTCAAATTTGTACTGTACAATGTCCAGGTTCAGATTTCATGGTCTTGAGTTAGATATGACGCAAAATCTCCAGGGATGCTTATAATACTTGGGACTTGGGCTTTGGTCCAAAACCAAAGGAGTATACTGTATGGATTTAGCCTAAACCTTTGAGATAGCTCATGTAACTGTTTCTGGGTCGACTTGTTAGAAATAATGGAGTTGCAACCTGGTCGAGGGCATCGACATCCATATATAATCACTCAGTCGCCTCTAACCAACCTTCACTTGTAGAATTTCAAGACGGATTACTGAAAAAAAAAATCATATAGCCCTTTAAGGTTGGGAGATACAAACTCACCTGACACGAAAGAGAGATGAACAGGAAGAGAGTCAAGAGCCCGGCTTCGACGACCAACATGAGAGCAGAGCTCACAATCCCTGCAGCTTCAAGGAACCCGCGGACGATGAAGCAAGCCATAATGACATCTGCGAAATAGAGGAAGCCGCAGCAGAACAGAGTGAAAAGAAATGATCGACGGGAGGAGGATGCCGCAGTGGATTCGTCCACCGACTCCAATTCCTTCCATGTTTCGTGAAGGTCTTCCAGCCACCCAGGGATTTTTCGAGCAGTCAGTAGTTGAGCCAAGATGTAGGTCAAAGTGACCCCGAATCCAGCTATGCAAAGGACGAAGGATCCGATGTGATCTGCCAGCGTATTCCCAAACTGACCGAAGTACTTGTCGATGGACGGTATTATCGCGATGGCGGAAATAATACATGTCCAAATAAGGAAGAGGGACCAGAAGAAGGCGAAACTCCGGAACCGAAATGTCACTTTCCTAGTCTCGTTCTCAGCTCTTTGCAAAGGCAGAACTCCAAGGAACATTGCCACACGGCAGAGAGTCCAGAGCCATTCCATGAGAGACGCCATTTTCCCACTTTCTCCGGTATCTCCCAATGTGTATTTATTTTCCGAATCATTCCATTATCTGCATCTTAATGGAGTCCGTGTCGAAAGCCTATCTTCATCAATGGCCACGCGAGGACGACTTACGTGACGTACCAGATTCTGTATTTTTGACGACTTATCTACGAAGACATCTCCAGAGACCAAGTTCATGAGAACAGATTATTTTCTTTTCGCTGACAACTTTAAGCTGCATAGACTTTCACCTAGGGAATTACCGCGCTGTTTTGAACGCAAGATATCGACTGACAATGGGCTTCCTCACTGAGCCCATTAATATACCATCCGAGTCTTCTCCGTACAATGCATTCTGCTCCTCTTGTCTCAATTTGTCCCTGAACTAATGGTAGTCCTAGTGTCAGTCATTTGGTAATGATTGACACTTGGACGAGTGGAGCCTTTTATGTGGATTTGGAGCGATTCGGTACCTCCCACGGCTCTGGAAATTTGAAATCTTCTTTCGCGTATTACACCTCTCAAGAAGCAAACTTTAATTTGAGTTCTTCCCATCTACGAGTACTTCGTGAAACCTATTTGCCATTTATAAAAGAATATCCTTGTACTCAAGAACCAATGATCTTATTTGAGGTGAACTGCAAAATATGCTCAAAGTACGGAATGATGCCATTAGCATGGATTATACAGGGTGTCTCAAAAAATGTATACACACTTGAATCAAGAGTGATTCTGGAAATCTGAGAACACATGTGAAGTGCAAAGAAGGTGGAGAAATGAACTTGCAACTATGCCACCATGATGTACTTGAACTTTCAAGGATTCATGATAAGTTTGACGCTGATGGTACAGTGCATGGTCTCCCAGAAAATTGCTAGTACGGTAATACACAAACAATGTTCTGATAGACCTCACACACCAACAGGTGGGGAAAATGCTGCTGTTGCAATGCAAGCGTTCACACGATCGCATGAAATTGAGGAGTCCTGTGCTGCTATCCCAGCAGGAACCTGTCCATAAGTTTGTTGCACTGTTGCTCACTGCTGTCAACAGTGCCTGGATGCTAACGGTGAACAATTTGAACATCTGTCATAGTGAACCATGCAATTCAAACCCTTGCTTCTCCACACACTGAACATTTTACCTCTCTGAATTACTTAACATATATTTTTTATTATTAAAGTGTGTATACATTTTTTGAGACATTTTGAGCATATTTCCTTCAACGAGGAATTCAGTCAATGAAGTCATAAATAGGAAAGCTTAAACTTGAAGTCATTGCCCCAGAATCACTAATTTTCTAATCACCTCACAAGTGAATCAATGACCCCAATTCCTCCCCCCCCCCCTCCCCCACTAAGAATGTAAAAGACAAAAACTGCATGAATGCATCATAATTTTCGTATGAATGATGAAATTTAATTATTGTGAAACGTAACTATCGTACTCCTACAATCTAGAGGCGGTGGATGCTTCACATTCACAGCTTAATTCATTGGTGATAATATTATTTATTTTGAAGATAGCCTCATCTTGAGTTCGTTCACACCTTTTAGCTCAACTTTTCCATCGATTGTAGTGCTTTTTGCAGCCATTTCAATAGCAGAAGAGGACGACGATGTCATCTGACTATGAACGACATGAAGATAATTCAACGATTAGCAAGTAAAAACGAGAGAGAGAATGTTATTTGGTGATCAGGAAACATCAATAAATTTCAATAAACATCATAAATAAATATTTAAGATTTAAAAATATAATGATTTTTTACATTTCTGCCATGAGGTTCTTCAGGCTGGCATAAGCATAGGCAATGACTTCTAGGAGCATTATTTTTTTTCAGGGACATTTAATAAATTATTGCTGTAGTTGCACTTTTCTCTTTCATTTCAGATAATAGTGAGGAAGTGGTTCTGGTAGTTTTATGAACATGCTAAAAGCGGAGTACTGGTAAAATATTCGTTTTCCTTTGGCAAATAAAGGAGAATTTTTCTAGTTAACTACAATAAATAATAAATTTGTCGAGATCTGCGAGAAGTTGACACAGGGAATTTGGAATTCCCCTCCCCATGCTCACTGCAGCCGGTCTCAACATTTTTCTTCAATCAGGACCAGTCTATGAGGCGGGTTCCGGGATCGTCCTGGAATTGCATATTATCACATATTATTACATATTATCACATGCATATTATCACATGGGCCGAACCATATATTCGAGGTGACTGGTCTGCCTGGATGGGGTAAACACTTCACTAATCTAATTTGAACAGGGCATTGGTCTTTATTCCACACAGTAATGAAGCAGGACACAAAATGATTCACTCCACACGGAATTCCAGTAAAACTATGAGGTACGTCAGCATATTACTCGCCACCTGCAATGGAAACAATATATGGAAAATTACAACCCACATAACTTACCATTGTTGCCGTAAGGGCAATCGTACAGGCAGTAGAACCTGAACTTCCTCGAATAATCCCAGCAAAAACCTCTTCGGGAAAATTTTTATCAGCAAGCGTTGCCTTCCCCCGCGGATTCACAAAGGAAATCCATGGAAGCGTTCCGATATTCAGTACAAGTACTGTCCAGCATGCCCATGTCACTGCTCTCTCATACATGAAGGGATCGGACTCAAGAGCGGAATCCCTCCTCCGTGCACTCGTCGCCTCTGAGCCACATTCCTTTACACTGTGATTGAGATGTCGCGCCCCTCTTTTTCGAAAGAACAAACCACGTTTACACAATAACATTTTCATGTTTGCGAACGTACGCTCATAGGATTTTTTATCAGTATAGAACTCAAGACAATTTGAAAAAATTATCATAATTTTTGTAAGAGGAAGAATGGAAATTTGGGAGAGGAAGAATAATTTTTGTAAGAGGAAATTTCTTTATGTGGAAGAAAAGATCATGCTCGTACTTTTGCGAATCTGAGCCTGTTTCAGCAACACATTTCTCATGTCCCTCTGTGTCAAAAAGCAAGGCGCAGAAGGAATCCGCAAAGCTATCTCTTGCGACTCCTACCTCCAAAGTTATATTGCCTGATGTTTCAGTAAGCGCAGGAACGAGTTCCTCGTTGCATCGATTGGCTGCCTCGCCTATCGATAATCGTTGATGCTGGAAGTGCGCAACGACGTCATTCACGCTTTCGCGTTCGCGCACTGAAATATCAGTCGTCCTCCGGGGAGGTTTCGGAAAAAAAACTGGACCGTGAAAGCCGATCCATCGCTTTTTTTCTCGATTGTGAGAGAACCGTCCAACGCTCGCCATCCCAAGTTGCGGCAGTGGGAATGGGATGACTTCAGTTGATGATAGCCTTGAATGGGCATGCTTACCTTGAGTAGTTCATATAATGTACATGTCATAATGTACCAGAGTAATGCACCAATATCCGAAATAACTATCATCTCCCAGATCTTGTAATAAAATCGTGCCTTAAAATTGAAGCAGCTCAGATTCAAGACGCACGTTTTAATTCGTCTCTCGGTACTTACAGAAGTCAGAAGAGCCTTGTCGAGGGTGAAATATCCCGACGCCTGCAGTTTCACCTGGTGAGTTCTCGTCTGGGCCTCGAAATGAACCACCTGCGAGTGGAATCTCCTTACCTTCAACTAGTCGAGCGCGTGATATCGAAGCCGATCGTGAGGGTGAATCGTGAATTCCCTCACCTGATTCCTGGATTTTCGGTCTAGGCTCAAGGTCTCGTCATTTGTGAGGGCGAGGATGATCTCTTCTGCCTGCAGCAATAGGAAACAAAATCGTATTTAGCTAGAAATAGTATAATTATGGGGGGAAATATAGGTCCTATGGCATAGACGCGCAGGTTTCGGGAAGGTAACTGCGAAGAAGGTAAGATGATGAGATCAGATATTTTCAGAGTGCAAATTCACGAGCTGGAGATTGCAGAAACATTGGATTCGTAACCCACCACTCGCCATATTGCTTTCTTCTCGTTATGAATAAAAGCGATAGCGATATGAAGAGCATACATATCTCACACCATTCTTCTGCGGTGAACCATTAACTCAAGTTATCATAGCTGCCAGGCTCGAAGAATGGCTCGTCCCACAACTTCGGGAGAGTTGTATCATACGGACAATCGCTTCATCTAACGAGGAGCGACACCAGCCCATTTTGCGGCGGCAGTTCTCAATAGTCGAAGTGCGAAATTCCCAGAGTGTGGAATGGTTAATAGGAACACGGCCATAGCCTCCCCGGATCTATCCACGTATGAGATCTGCCTGCGGATAAAGTCGCTAGAGTGGGTTTCTACGATATCCAAGAATTAAAAGATGCAATCCGAGTGATTTTTGAACAGATCAAACTTGCAATGATGCGCAAATTGAGGAATTTGACCTGGCGTCGGATCATTCTGTGCATTGGAGAACGATAATTCGCAAACTGATACATTGGGGGAGGAAGAAGGACTTGTAAAATCGTGCGCAGAGAGAATTATGGCCCGCTGTATTTATGCCTAGAAAGTTTGCACGGAAGCCTTTGAAGGGCATGGTCTGACCTTTGAAGAGAGACTGTCAGCAGTCCTACAGAGGGAGAAGACGAGGAAGTCGCAAAACAAAGCTTTCGCCAAAGCCGTCCCAGCCATGAGCCAGTACCCCTTCATGGCGTAAGAGATTATGAAGAAGGCGTATAAGACGGTGAAGGCGATATCCGTGAGAAAGCTCAGGAAGAGAGTGGGATGGAACGCGGACGAGAGCCTCCTGCACAAGCGAGACGCGCGCAGATGCGTGTCCAAGTAGAGGGCCAGGGCCTCGCCTCTCCGCAGGGGTTTCTCGGCGCACCGCAGTTCCCTCGCGCGCTCCTCCAGGATCGTCTTCAGGACCTGTCGCGGTGAAAGCAGACGTGTATTTCTTGTACGGCATTCGCCCTGTCTCTTTGAGATATTAATTTATTATTAATTATGAAGGAAAATGCGTCCCAAAAAATATTTCACAAGAAAAAAAAAACGATCGAATTTAGGAGTTACAGTATTTGAGAAATGTTTTCAGGGGCAAGATGAGTATTTTCCAACGGCGTTCTGAATAGAAGGCGGGTGGCTGAACAGATATCAAAATAATTTTACAGGAAGGGCCTGGAAACGAAGTTGATTTCGTTTTATAGACTTAACATTTTTTCGTTTTCTTTTGCGTTTTCGTTCTTTCCATTTCATGTCGTTTTTCGAAGATAAATAACATTTTGTCTTCTAAGAAAAAATGTTTTCTTCTAAACTTATTTTTACCTTTGTTGACAGAGAAAAATGTCATGGGCCCCCTCCTTTTGACAGAAATGGAGAGAGGCAGAAAGTAGTGGGGACACAGATGCTGTTCGTGAAGAGTCCTTTGTCTCCCTTTCGCATTTTTTTGCTTTCCTTCATGAGTTCATTGGATCGGAAGAGGGCATGGATGTGACACCTACACAAGGTTTGTTGTATCTAGTTTGAAACCATAAACGCTCTAATAAACTTGCGGAGTTCGTGCAATCGAGTGGGCGAGCGGGGTATTACATTCGACAAGTTATCGTTAGCAAGTACTGGCTGAGCGCGCATTAATCAGGTGAGTGACTTTAAGAAGTCGCAAGCGAGTGCTCACCAAGTGTAGCAGATCTTTAAGGTCTGTACTGAATCTGGAGATTGTCGACTCTGCCGCAAAGGTTTTTTGGACGTCGATTCCATCTTCGACAGCTACGTATGGACTTGGCACCCCCAAAATTCTATATAACCGTCCTCGGACTGGACTTGAGTGGATTTGGATTTGGACACGTTGCGAAAAATATTCTCCGGATTCGGAAGGACTGGAGTCGGACCTAAACTTGGAATCGAGACCTGTGAACTAGACCTACTGAAGAACCTACATAGTTTCAAATACTAAAAAATGCGCGAAATGCGATTCCCTTCGAGGGCGGCCTGCATCGACTCTTTCAGCTCTTCCAGCATTTAACAGGAATTCGAAGAGTTTATGCAGCACTTGCCAAGACAAATCCTACCTGGCACGAAAGAGAGATGATCAGGAAGAGAGTCACGATCCCCGCCTCCACGACCGCGCACAGGACGAAGCACGCTATCGGCGCCAGGTAGGAGAATCCCTGGACCATGCTCCAGCACGTGGAGACGCTCCCGAGGTAGAAGCAGGTCGAGCCGATGACCGTGAAGAGGAACGATCGACGGTGGGCTGCGGCCGAGCAGGATTCCTTCAGGGGCTCCACTCCCTTCCACGTCGCGTCGAGGTCTTCCAGAAGAGACGGAAGCTTCCGCGCTGTCATCGTTTGCGATGAGACGTAGGTAAGAACGGAACCGCATCCGGCAATGACCATGACGTAGGAACCGATGCGGTCTGCCAGCGTGAAGAAGTACCGATCGGCGTACTTCTGGAAGAGAGGCACTAAGCACGCCATGGAAGTTATGTATGCAGAGATAATGAGAAGAGACCAGAAGAAGGGGAAACTCCAGAACCGGAATGTCACTTTCTTCGTCTCGTTCCCTGTTCTTTGCACGGGTAGAATCCCAAGGAACATTCCCACACGACAGAGTCCAGAGCCAATCCATAAGAGACGCCATCTTCCCTCGTTCTTCGGTATCTCCTAACGCGTATGTATTCTCCAAATCATCCCATTATCTGCACCTTTACTGAGCCGAAAGCTTGTCTTCATCGATGACGATAGGGCCTTCGACTTATACAAATATACTGTAGATATATTTGCTTCATCTGTCAACGTGTATACTCACATCGCGTCAGAATGGAAAGACTGGTTGAAAATAGGGACATCTCCAGTTAAAATGAAGAAAAACCTGTATGGCAGTGGCGAATGTTGAACATTCGTGTCAGGTTTTTGTTATATGTGATCATCCCCATGTACTTTGAGGGAGTTGCCATCAATTGCACAAGCCTGCTTAGGAAATAATTTGTAATACGTCACAGCACGAAGAATGGGAACACCGACCCCATTATGTGAAAAGTATGAAAACAATGTCTACTTTCTTGCCGTTGCAGATGCGCTGGAATGCTGAATTAAAATAGCCATCCATATTGGTAAAGTCAGACCAGGCATTGTTCATTAATGATGGGCGGCCAACACATTTCCCGATTTAGACCAATAGGCTTCAATAAGGCATTGAAGGCTCAATTGTCAATTTGTCTGATCAAATTTCTCTGGCAATATCAAATAGGCCCTTCGTGACTACCCATGGTAAGGGAGCAGTGGATGGAGTTGTTGGCCTACTGAAGCATTAGGTTTGGTCACGGATAAAGGCGTGTCATTTCCTTTTTGATGATTCCGGTTTTTTTTTTTTTTTTCACCCTTGTGCAGGTAACGCCATCTATCACTTTCGTTCATATGAACACTAATAAAACGTGGAAGGAAAGGGGGAAACACTTTGATAATGGGAGGGCATCCAAGACGTTTCTAAGATTCACAAAATGCACTTTGTGGAGTGGATATGGACCTTTGGTCCATAAAGGGTCCCGTACTCGCTAACACATAACTCGTTAGGTATGGAATTCTTCGAGCCTGTCAGTGAACATAAACATGACTACCCAGCAAACAAGGCTATGTTGGACCAACGTTTGTAACAAGGTTCCAAACGTTTATTCAATGCTGAGTCAACATTGATTCAACGTTATGTGTTTAAAATTGTTTGCTGGGTAGTTTCCAGAGGTGAGCTGTATTTAAAATACGTGTTCAATACATTTCACGTATTTTGCATTTAAATACATTTAAATGCAGAATACCTGATCAGTTCTCTGCAAAAAAAAAATGTATTTTGAAAACATTTGACAAAATATAAAATATTTTTTAATTGAGTTGGTGCAACTTCAAACGTGGCTACCTCAGACGGCTTGCCTTTTTATTGGAAGTTCTTCACGATTGCTGAAAGAGGGGGGAGGGCAGAAGGTCAAGGCCAAATGTGCTGCATGCTCAACAGAGAAAGTGATTAGTGGAACTTCAGCTACAACATCCAACTTCTTTAAAAATTGAAGGTTGATTGTGTTGCAACATCTTGACCTAACCTATCCTTGGCCCAAGCAAGTTTTTCGATTTAATATATTGATCATCTTTAGACCTAGGCCTTGCGCAAACCCAAATCTTGCCGATGCAGGTGAATATTTCTGTTCTTTGTCTTCAGAGTACATTCGGATCTCGTTGAGGATTAAAAATGGTATAAAGGGGAGCAGTCTGGGATTCGGGGAAAAAAGAAAGCAGAAAGAATGCCACACTCTGCCAATGTGATGCAAAGGCCAATGGTCAGAACTTCTGAAGGATTCCTGATTTTGGACAAAATCTGAAAGGCATGATGTAAACTTGACGTTTTTATATTTTGCATTTTCAACTGTATTTTAAAATACATATTTTGTATTTGAAAGAATATTATTGGGCTGTATTTATATTTTATATTTACAAAGAAATTTTCATGGGCATTTAAATTTTTTTATTTAAATAATCACTTGCATTTTGCCCAGCACTGCTAGTTTCAAGGTAAATACAATATATCAAGCTTCTCAATCATGTGGATCATGTCAAAAGTTCAAAAACCTCTCACTAATATCAAATTGAGCAAAACCAATTTCTTTTAACTTTTCTGATTGAAAGTAACCTCCAAACCGTTTCCCAGCATTACTCTTGAGTTCAGACTGCATTGCAATTTAATAAAAGGCACCATTACATGATGTGAAATGATTTGAGTTCTATGCTGAGTGAACAGTAAATTAATTTATTTCAAATTTGAACTGCATGTAGACACAGCAGTGGATTGATATTTTTCGAAATTTATTGGAGATAGGTCAAACTTGCTCTCCAATCCAGACTGAGACCAGGACCAGCCAATGGTGCACTTGCGTCCTGGGATATCATATTTAGCATGCAGAAGAAAGACTACAGAATGAAGTTCTCTTCTTCAAAGATAGCTAAATCATAAATATAAAAAAATCAGATCATGATCTTTATTCTCAGATGCACTTCAATTTCACAAGTGACCAAAGCAAAATCTATATAATATAACCATAACTTTACAGACTGAATGTAAAAGGTGTCTCCTTCCTATATGAAGGGGTAGCGATGATAGGATTGCATGTCATGAGTATATATAAGTATGAGAATATACAAATCCTACTAGTATCATAGCATGTGCAAGGAAATAAGACAATCCTGGAAGAGTGAGTCTTCACTTCTTTGCCGTTGCTTTTGATATTCCAACTGAAACAGCATATGAACATAAACAGGGTAAGCAAGGAATGTGGAAATAAATTACATTCTGAAATGGTATGATCACCTCATTCCCAGACTCTGAAACCCCAAAAGCATTCAGCAGAAGCAATAGATTGTCTTAAATACACAAAGTCTAGGGACTGTAGAGAGGAGCTTTGTAGAGCAGAAACCAGTAGACAGTAAGGAGAAGAGCAGGTGGACTGAGGACATTGTTCTGTTCAACATATGCTTTCACTTCTGGGATGGACATTTCCACAACATCTATTAGTTCTCCCTCCTCTGCATTCCCTCCACCTATTGGGCATCAGAAGCAAACATTCAAAATTTAAAAAATTAACCAAAATAGGGGAAAAGTACAGCAATACAATTATATCAAGTGCGTCCAACTCATTGCAAGTTTGAAAGCATTGAGTGCATCTAAGTTATCTCATGTGGAATCCTGTAAAAAAAAAAAAGCCCTAGGTAATTATTGTTCCATGTTGTCTGCATTACACTTGGGATTCAATTTTTACTTGATAATATATGATGATAATGAAATATCTCTCAATAAAAGCCAGCTGCCCTAGGTTACCCTGGTTGGAGGAAAAAAATTTTCAAATGAAAGCCTGTCATCTCATTGTCTTTGCCAATGAATACCACTCAGGATGGCATGACTGGATCCAACTAAATGATTAATCAGGCAGAAAACTCCATGTTATAACATGACAGTGGGCAGAGATTAAATGAGCATGGTAAGTCTTGAAACCTGAAGTTAGACCTACATGGTGAGAGGGACTGTCCGATTGACAGGACACAAGGTAAGAGGCAAGGGCCCAGCTAGTGTCCTACAACTTCTGTGAAGTCACTGAGAATAAATGGCTTCACAATAATGATAATAAAATGATAGGTATAGAATTACTGAGAGGGATATGCTCTGGAGGAAACGAAAGCCTACCTGGACCCTGTTTCATGTCATCAGTTACTTCACAGTAGAAATGGGTTTGAGAATCCCTAGCATAATCAAGAGTCCCTCTGGAAAAGAAGACAGAAATAAATATTCACCTGAGTGAATCTTCATGGAGTCAGTAACTTCAACAAAGAAGATAGTATGGCGGCCTCCTGAAGTCCCTACTCCCGATCTGGAATGAGCCATCAAAATGATCTCACATTAAGTTTAACTGCACAGACCATGATAGTTCATAATGGAAACAGTAGACGCAGAGAAGTCACAATAAAGAATGTTGGGAGAAAATTGCAATCTTATCATCAATGATCATCTTCCTCAGATAATAATCTTGATCTGCTGGGGAAAATTTTAATGTCTACCATTCAAATACAATTGAATACCACACGAATCATAAGATGATCATGAAAAGTTGCATTTACTGATAGAATGTCTGGAGGGTGGAGGATCACCACAAGCCCAGGTGCTCAGGTTTTGGAAAAGCATGAAAGGCCCTGCTGAAATGTTCACTAAAACTTACCAGCTTAATTCATACAATATCACACACCTCACAACTGTCAGTTGTGAGGTGTGTGATATTGTATAAATGAATTAAGCCTGACTGAAGTGAAATTGCATCCTTAGGAAATCTCAACACCAAGATAGCTGAGAATTGAAAAATCACAAAGTAGATTATACACTGAGCCATAGATATTGAAGACTCTAAATAAGGAAAGTTTTGCACCACAAAAGAAGAGAATCCACTTACTTGAAGCCAATAATCCTCTGAAGAGTGGATGGATCCACTACATATCCACACTCCTCTCTGACTTCCTCAGCTGCAATCTCCTCCAGAGGTTTATCTTTATCCAAAATTCCACCACATGTCTCCAATGCAACACCCAGACTGGCTGGATACTTCTGAGTATCTATCATTCCCTTCCTGTCCTCCTCTGGAATACTGTTCAGGTAAATAGCTGCAGTGGAATGACAGGGAAATTTGTGCATCATGAAAACCATTTTGGTATTTAAAAAAAAGTGCTCATTTGTACGTAAGGCATGGCTGAATTATAAAATTAAAGCAACACAAATGAGTTTCATCTTCAATTCCAATACATGCACAAATAACAAGGATTTCTAACGTCTTTTTAATTAAGTGCTTCCTTTGTGCATATAAAAAGCTAAAAAAAAATGTTATTAATGTATAAAATATTAAAACAAATCTGCTCAGCAAATGAGAAATCATATATTCATCCAACATTTTTCCCTATAAGGAAAGGTCAGTATAAAATTCAGAAGGAAGTCCTATCACAGAGCAGTACCTGCTTTTCCATTTTATACCAGTAACAAATGGGATTAGAGGACTTTATTCTTGCTGAGCAGATAATGAACCTGGCAGAAACAAGAAGGGCCTTTGAAAGGTCATCCATTAAAATATAGGAATTACAAGGTATATAACTAATAGGCTAATTTTTCACCAAGTTGTAGGATACATTTGTTTCCTTTATACATTTAAATGTATAAAGGTAAATCAGTCATCAATCACCCTACCTTCCTTGCCACCTTCATATGCTCCTTATTCATCTGCTCAGGAAGCATGGAGAATTCAAAGGTTAAGACTTTTGTTCCATTCTTGATACATCAGGAACATCAGCATAATTGATTTGAAAAGTTTTTGTAAAATTATCCTAAAGAATGACTCTCAGGTTTTGTTACAACCTATCATGACTCATTCTGTGGGAGAATCATCTGGCCTCCATCTACCATTCCCCTAAGAATATGCAGCTTTGTCTAAAATGGGACTGAAGAGCAAAGAAATGAAATAGCCAAAAAAAACCCACATGGTCGAAATTGCCTCACGAACACAAATTTCTTTCTTGTGATGTTGAATATCAGCACAGAAACCCTAATCAGGAAAGAAGAAATGAAACCAGTTATTTTATATAAGCATGGGGCAATGTACAGGGTATAGCAAGAAAAACCAAACACAAAGCAAAAAATTTGCACAATGCATAGATAGATATGTTTACAATAAACTTTTCAAATTTTCATCTATATTCATTGTGATGAGGCATGACTATGAACAATTATTCAAAATCAGGCAGGTATTGAAAATGGAACAGAGTTCATGCAGGCAGTCAAATGGAGTCATGCCTCCATGCTCTCATTGCATATCATCAAACCATTGAACTTCTCTTCTACTTAAATTCATTCTTAAGGCTGACACTTCCTTGAATCCTCCTCTCACAAACAAAATTTAATGAGATTATGCTGAGACATAAATAACTTATGAACTGATACTTAAAGACTTTTAGGATGACACATGTATAGTCAAACAAAGGCTTCAGATCATCAAGAAGAATGTTCAGTGATTGAGAACTATGAACTTCTCAACCCGATAAGATATGCCAAATGAAGAGAGCAAGACTCAGCAAGAATGAGACTTATGCAATCATAGTCGTTGCTTTTCTTCTAGGTGTAGTATATGGTCCTTGAAGGCCCTTAAATGGCTTTATGTAAGTGTTCAGTGTAATGAACATGTCAGTACAAGTGCTGGTCTGACAACTGAGCATAGATCTCAGGCATGAATTTTAAAACACTCCCTCAAAGTTTTCTTGCACTCTGCACTCCTTTCTGTCTATAAAAAATGTTTTGGGCTGAGTAGCCTGCTTGAAGAATTATAGTTTCATTGCATGAAGTAGAGTTTATCAGGTTTATCAAGGTAATTATGAGACTCATAAAACTTTCAGATTTTTTATTCTTTTTGAAGAGGAAACTGGGTGTAAATCAAGAAAATCAAAGCATACTATATTAGTTTCAATTTTGAATGAGTATTTTTTTTGCAAAATCCCAAGATATAGGCCATATTAGAAAAAGTATCACTCTATCAAAAGTTTCACTATGAGTGAAAAGTATCACTCATGTTTGAGTAATTCTTGGAAATAAATTTATTGTGAACAACCTAGGCTTTGGTATTTCCCAGCTTCTAATTCCCATTCAGTTGAAAATAATGAGCATGCTTCAACATTAGGAGTACAGCAAAAACTTTTGTTTCATGCACCTCAATGCACCCCCCAAGAGCTCTAGCTCTTTTAATTAAACAATGATGCAGACTGAAAACATTTGGTAGAGACATAGCATTAGCTCAAGCACAAACCCTCACTTCAACAAAATGCCATTCTGGTGCTTCAGCAGTGATGTGAAAGCTGTATGCATTTATTCATGAATTTTTTCAATGACTTACCCTTCATGAACAGTCATCATATCCCATATTTTCTTCTTCCCTCCCTGTAAAGTCACCCAAAGCATGTATTAATATATGCTAAAAAAAGAAACAAGCACCAGACATTACTTAGGACATATTTGAGTTTAATAATTCTAAATGTGGCAAGTGCATCAAATTCTCAATTACTTTTGTTTTCATTGATGAGTTTACAAGCCACAATCAGAAATAATAAAAGACATGGTATGGTTCCCAAAGCTATGAATTTGGTTCCTTGAACATCTCTGTTCAAGGCAGAAAGCAAATCAACCTCAGTAAGCTTCATGATAACAAAAGCCAAGGAGCACATCAACTATACCCACTGGTATGTCTGACATGAAGTATAGGCACCTATCAGGAATCTACTGTACTCGTGCATGTCTCAAGATTCCAGGAACCATGGCATTTCATAATACACCATGCATTAAATCCCTTTTAGATGGAGCAATAGAGTCATGCATTCACAATAACAAAACACACAAATCTCTTAACAGTCAAACTTTCTTTTCTAGCCCTACCATCAATCTGTGATCTCAATATCCTTGGAAATAGACAACAGTATAATTGAGACTATGCATGCATCTTCATGCACTCAGCGGCTCACATGAGATTAAGAAGCTTCTTTTGGCATAATAGCCATAAAAATCAATATATCAACTCTTTTGATTTCATGAAGTACCAAAAGTACAGCTATTGAATTGACAACTATTCAATTTATACTAAATATAAGTGGCTAAAACTTCTGATTTGGCATGATACATTTTCTAATAGAAGAACAGATCCATGATAGAAAACATTTTGGTATGAAACTACCTCTTTTAATAGGCTAATGTGTAGTACTGCTAATTTTCTAATGATGTACCTAATAGCCATAGACTACTTATGATCAAATATAATACTTACCTGTGTGTAATGTAATCTGACAGGATGTAGGTATTTGCTATCTGTCAATGTACCCACATACACTTCCTTTAGATCCTCCATAGCATTAATGTCTGGCATAAGGGCAATCACACACTTCAGCAGTGGATGTTTTAGGGAGACAGTTGCCTGATTGTGGCCAATGAACTAACAATACAAAAATTCATGTGAACAAAATGTTTCCATATAGCCAATTCAAATGAACTTAGACTATAGTTAGTGACACTACATAAAGAAGCTAAGGCCCAAATGCATAAACCTCATTTAGAGGAGATAAAGGAGCCTTTAAGCTAAAGAACTCTTTTTCCCCTTATAGGAATCCATGTATTCTAAAAAGGACCATTAACTAAAGGTTTCAGCATTCAAGCCTTAGTCAGTCTCAGACAGTAATATTTCGGCTTAACTTTAGAATACATTCCCACGCCCTTGGGAGCAAATAAGTATTAGTATCATACTTATATCTATATGGATATATTGGGAATATATTTCTCTTGACGGCGCATGGACGGTGTTTCGCCCAGAAAACGCTAGAAACTCCTCACATATCTTGGGCCTTGGCAACCCCGAGCGGCCATGTTACACGCTCCGCCCATGCCCCTGCGTCTGCTAGCACATTTCATGGCCTTCCTGGGCATG